AACCCTGAAGATGGAGGCGATATTTTCCTCCGAAATATCTATTGACTTCGAACGGACTACACGGCGTTACATCCAAGAAAATACAACTCTTCATAACCACCGGGGTGAGAGTTTTAGATCCCATATAATTCATAGTAAACGTAAAGCGAAAGTTCTTGCCTACAGGTACAGAGGTCCCGGGTTCGATTCCCGTCGCTACCATATTTTCTGAGAAGTAATGGGTCTGGAACGGGGTCCAATCAACTTCGTGAGGATAATTGAGGACTTATTTCAAGGAAATAACGGCACCGGTCTAGAAAAAATAGATTAACGGCCGTGGGGATCCGTTGCTCTGACCACACGACACCCTCTATCCGTAAAAGTTGGCACTAACTTCGCCGACAAGCGGCGGTCGCTCGGTCGGTATAGTTCGCTTGCGCACTAAAATCACGGAGTTTGTTTTGTTTGTAACCCTGTAGCAGGCTGTGGAGGTCCATATGGCTGTGAGACGTTGAGGCTCCCACATTTTCTAGACAGTCGCTCACAGATGGCGATAGTAACAACTGTCATTGAGTTCCACTTCATCTGGTCACTCGACAGTAATTTTGCAACGAAGGATTTCTGTTCTTCAGCATTAACGACTAGGCTTTCTGACGTGTTCCACTGTGCAATATGTTACAAATATGTATCCTATGAATTTCTTGTATTCTTCTTGAAAGAGAATCAGAATAATCAAGTCAAGGAGGATGAGACGGGTAGGGCATGTAGCACGCATAGGGAGAAAAGGAATCCATATAAAACATTGGTGGGGGAGCCAGAAGAAAAGAGACAACTAGAAAAATTTAGATGACAATATTAAAATTGATCTTAGAGAAATAAGTTGGGGTAGTATGGACTGGGTTAATGTGGCTCAGGATACGGACCAGTGGCGAGTTATTGTGAACACGGTATTGGACCTTCGAGTTGCATAGAATTCTGGTAAATATTTGAGTAGCTGAGGGACTGATGGTTTCTCAGGTGGAGAAATATTAATTTATTGTCTTGCATTTTTTGTGAATCAATGTGACTGAATACCGAAATCGTCAAACGAAATTTTGTTAAAACCTACAGTACAGAATTTTAATAAAATATGGGAGACCGTTCGTGCAATACAAGCAAGAGGCCATTTATGGCCTTAGGTAAACTAGGCCTTATTACAGCTTAATGTGTCCTGAAACTCGAAATTTCCCCACAATTTATAGCAGAAATTTCAATACCGAATTTTCAGAAAATCGGTCCTACAATTTAGGTCCTGATACTAGGTCACATTCAGACATAGAGACTCGCTCTCCTGTCGATATCTCTGTTAATAATATATTCAGTTCGTTCCTACTGAATTTATGTATATATCCTCTGTTTTTATCTCCATGTCTCCTGTTTCTTAAACACAATTTCTTTGAAATTTATCTTCAATGTCTACTCAACGATTTAAAATATTTCCCAGAACCAATGTAGAGCCTCTATGTAAGGATTCTAAAGATTTTCCAGATATCATTTTTCAGCCTTTCTACAAGTTTCTCTACTCCTTAATTATTTTCCCTTATGTCTTATCTCGTCCTCAAGTTTGCTTTGGAAGTGAGTTTGGGGTCTTTCATTTTCAATAGAGGCATTCAATTGCAAATGCTAAAGATAGCCCGAAATGTTGTTTACCCCTTATTAGTTGCAGAACTTGAAAGCTGCTTGTGTCAAGGGATGCCTTCTCTGTCTTTCACCCTTCTTATGTTGATTATCGAAGGTTTTTGAAAACGCGGTTCTGACGAGTGAAAGGAGGATAAAATAGAAACTGCAGAAGTTTCAAGTCTCGCAATTTGTATTTCTCACGAAATGTTGTTACACTGACAAATTCAAGGAGGCGTGTACTCTTCACCAAATTTAAGTATAATAAACAGAATAAATAAATTAGGTGAGCTGGGAATGTAGCACAAATGTGGAGAAGAAGAATGCGCATAGGATATTGGTGGGGAAGCCAGAAAGAAGGAAACCACTGGGAAGACCAAGACATAAGTGGGTGGACAATATTAAAATGAAACTTAGAGGAATAGGATGGGATGGTATGAACTGGATTAATCTGGCGTGGGGTAAGGACCAGTGGCGGGATCATTTGAATGCGGTAATGAACCTTCGGGTTCTATAAAATATTGCGAATATCTTGATTGGCTGTTCAACTGACGGCTTCTCAAGAAGGAGTCTGCACCTTGGAATTAGTTAGTTAGTTAGTTAGATACATAGATAATTTGTTATAGTGGAGTTTTCAGCGACAATGAGGTAAAAGGTAAAGCTATCCCTGTAACAAGCCGTGAAGGTCCAGAAGTTTATGAGACATTTTCTAGACAATCGGTTTACAGATGGCGGTAAGTTTGTCAGCCTTATGCGCCGGCCGTACCTTTACCACAAGGAAGATTCCTGGTACTCATTTCTGTTAGAGGCTGAGTTGAACCCAGGGCCATAGTGCGGCTGGAAGGATTATGTAAATTGAAAATTTCACCTCATAAGGACTGGAACCCTCGACCTTCCGCCTTGTAGCGTAGCGCCTCAACTGAAGGACACAATCCAAAATTCCGATTGTCACTTGAGAAATATTGGCCTCAACATCGGTCACCATAAAATTATTGTAACAGTCTTTGATTATAAACGGATATTTCCATGGTAGTATCTTTCAACGTGCTATGGATCCCTCTTCCTTCTACTTAATCTGATTTTTTTCCTTTTGGCGCTACAGCGTCAATTTTCGTCTTGGCCTACCTCGATGAATCTCCATTTCAATGCGGTTTACTAGATCTTAGATATTCGATAGGACTCCTTGGACGGGTGATCAGCTGGTCGCATGGCCTCTACCTGTACACAAACACAGGAAAACGCACACACACACACACACACGCACACACACAAACAAACACTGAGCATCCATGCCTTAAGTGGGATTCGAACCCACAACCCCGTCTTCCGAGCGAGTGAACATAGTGCATGCCTTAGACCGCTCGGCTACCGTGACCGGCAGTGTATAAGAATAATATATAAGAATTCAGTTCGTACCTCACAGGAAACAGATCCGAACCCACGATCCCGGTTTCCAAGCGAGCGAAGACAGTTCATGCCTTAGACCGGTCGGTTACCGTGACCGGCCTCCTTCTGGATCTATTCTATCATCAGTGCTTATCACAGCTCAAAAAGCATCTTTCATGTAGGTCTAAAAGTTGATACACCTGAAAATAGTCTGCAGAACCCTTGAAGTATCTCGTGTACTGTACACGTGCATGTGTTCTCATCTCCCCTCTCGTCTCGCAAGTCTTGCTATGTCGTGACTTCAATATGATCATTATCAGTTTGTCTTCAAGGAGTGTTTTCTTTGTGTGAATGCAGAGTTGTAAAGCCATACAGATGGGCTGTAAGGCACACTCTTTGAAATGTATTTGAAATGCCCTGCTGGTTTTATGCACGTTACGATACCTGTATAATTCCGAGGTTTCTCATTGACTAAAGTGTGACCTTGTGTCCTTACAGTGGTAGTAGTTGGCTCAGTAGTGGCCAAACATCCTTTCTCAGCTGACTCTTTATGTAGTTTCGGGGGAGAAAAGGCAGAACAGACATAATCTGGAGATTAGACAAGAAGTTCAGGTTAAAAATAATGGCCTAATTTCCTGATTGAAGACTGAATAAGAAGAAGAAGAAGAAGAAATGTGGGTAGTAGTGAGAGACACTACATTGGGGGAGGGGGGTAAGAAACTATATCTCCGATTTTGAAAGTTCCCAGGCAGTGCCTGCTTGTCCTTCTGGTAAAGATAGGGCATATAATCGGATTTTTTTTGGTAACGTTGGGAGGTCTGTATTAGGGCGAAATTTTGATGTTATCAATGGGGGGCTGCATGTGAGGCGTAAAGGGCAACGTGAAATTTTGATTAGCAACTCAGCATTTGCACTAGGACCGAGGAAAACCACGGAAAACCTTCGTCGAGTTGGCCGGTCGCAGGACCTTCTGGATGCTAACCGACTCCTAGCCAGCAGTCCGGCATTAAAGGCGCGAACCCTAACATTAGACTCTATCTGTGCTGTTGCTTTATTTTAAAAGTTTACATATGTGTTTCTACATTTGTTTTTCTTTTGCATAATTTGGAGGTGACTCTTTACCTGCGATTTTTATTTTTATTCTGTCGTGGGGATCCGTTGCGCTGACCACGCGACACCCTCTATCCGCTAAAGTTGGCACTAACTTCGCCCACGAGCGGCGGTCGCTTGGTATAGTTCACTTGCGGACTACAGACCACGGAGTTTGTTTTTGTTTTTGTAAACTTCATAGCTATTTTGCTTATGTAGGTTTTAGATACGAGCCGATCACAATGGCCGCGCGGTCTAAGGCATGAACAGTCTTCGCTCACTTGGACTTGCGAAGAGCCGATCCTCCCTCCAAGGAGTCCTACCAACTGTCTCAGATTACGAAAAAAAATAACTTTACTTACCTCGACGCTGTAAAGGTAAAAGAGGAGCAGATTAAGAAGAAAAAAAGGTCGAGAGACGAAGGACGAATGACGCTCTTTAATTTGTTTTCTTTCTTCATCCTTCTTACCATAAAAATTTGTATTTTATTTATTTTTATGGTTAATTTAATGACTCACAATAACTCGGATTTTATAGCTGCAAATTGTAGGATGGCTGGTAATGAATTGGAAAGGAAGTGAACTGAAGCAGTCGTGGCAAATTATAGAGAAAATCGTCGTGATGATAGTACATTTCCCGGTCGAGATTCGAACCGGATACCTCCCGAATATAAGTCAGAAACGTTGTCGGTTGATCCAACTTGTTCGGTATTACGCATGTTAATTATAAACATGTTTGCGCCCCTTTGATTTCATATTCTCTCTCAGAAAGACTCTCCTCACAGTCTGGAGACGTTGTCATATACATCCGCGTGATTCGCTTGTCGCTGTGAATCATACAATCCTCCTTATCTCTGTTACTAGCTTCACTCAACTCACCTTGAAGTACACTGGACTCTCGAAGTTTCTATCGATAGTCACTCCGCCATATTGCTTGTCAGTTGAACATCTGCAGACCTCAAGAACAGCAGTGAAATTTAACTCTTGCCTTCGTGTAAAATTATTTGGAATAGCAGTATGATAGTCTTTGAATTTATTGGACTCTCTGCACAGTTTAGTTTATGTAACACACGTAAAGTTATATATGTGTATAATGTAGATTACATCTGCATTTTTGTTATCAATTATTAATCAATTGTTTTATCCGGTTTCAGTCGTTAGTAGATAGGTAACTACGCAAATAGTGGTTTGTGAGTGAAAACAGTGTTAATTTTCTAAAGAAAAAACATTTGACAAGTGTAATAAGAAGACATTCACCAATCTTCAGTACATCTTAACCAGCATTGTTGGCGATAAGCCTCTTGCACTGGAAGGTAAGTACAGACACTCAGGAGTATTTTATTACACTCTGATTCGGGATAAGTGATGCATAACCTGGCTGGTTAGAAGCTAGACAACCTTAGTTCGATTCTCGGCTTTGAATCCATCATGTGCACACATAATGTGACCCAGCCTTCTAACCGATTATTTCGTACAGATCTGTCCCACGGGATAAAGCAGTCAGAACGTGAAGGTAACTATACTTACTTCCATGTGACGTTGATGATAACGAAGCCTGAGTATTTGAAATGCTGTATACGTCATTCTATTAAGACGCTTCAGCAAAACGTTGAATGGACGCTTCTTTAGAAATATAATATTTATTCTGAAGTTTGAGGTTCTAACGGGGATGATCATTGAAATATTCGGGATGTGACGCCGTACAATATGGTAGAATTTCACCGACACTTCGGTGGGGAGTGCTGGCTCCGAAACTTCCTCAAGGTTCTATCAGAACACAAGCGTCATATCCCAGAAGACAAGTCTCCTCATATTCGCTGCCGTGATAACCTCATATTCATGATTCTTATAAATATTCACTACAGAACTTAAAATATATTTGTATAGTGTTATTACATTAAAAGTGAGCCGAGATAGCAACTGGCTATGGGCTGGACGACTGAGGCTTCGGAGTTCGAGTCCCGCTAAAGTCAAGAATTTTCTCTTCTCAAAATCGTCCAGACCGGCTCTNTTCCTCAAGGTTCTATCAGAACACAAGCGTCATATCCCAGAAGACAAGTCTCCTCATATTCGCTGCCGTGATAACCTCATATTCATGATTCTTATAAATATTCACTACAGAACTTAAAATATATTCGTATAGTGTTATTACATTAAAAATGAGCCGAGATAGCGACTGGCTATGGGCTGGACGGCTGAGGGTTCGGAGTTCGAGTCCCGCTAAAGTCAAGAATTTTCTCTTCTCAAAATCGTCCAGACCGGCTCTGGGGTCCACCCAACTTCCCATCCAATGTGTACAGGACGGTTTTTCCTGGGGGTAAAGCGGCAGGGGCGTGAAGCTGACCACTCACCTCCAACTATTACCGAGGTCAAGAAAACGTGGGTCTATACATCCACTACCCCATACGCCTTCATGGCCTAGTGCTTACTTAGTTAATCACAAGGACAACTTTACATTATTACATTAAAATATTGTATTGTAGAAGTTTCTAGCGTCCAAGCGAGTAGTTCCTGACTTAGAAGCTTTACTGCTGAAGACTGCCACAGCGATGCCTACAACGTGCGGGCCATTGATGGCCGCTTCGGACGGTGGCGCTTTCCTCGTCAAATTGGGTTCATTAATAACTTGCCTGGTCACTAGTCGTAGGCTCGCTCCAGCCAGCTTTCGTGCATGGGTGTAATAAGGCTCACAGAAAGTCGCGTCGTTGATGAGTTAAAATATAAAGTTGTCCCTGTGCTTAATTAATTAAACACTACGCCATTAAGGCGTGTGGTGGAGTGGAGTTATAGCTTCACAATTCTTGACCTCGACACCAGTTGGAGGTGAGTTTTCAGCATCACTCCCCGGCTTCTTTATCCACAAGGACAGAACTGCCGGTTGCCACTGAATAGGAGATTCCGTCTATACGCTGGGGTGTGGAAAAATTCTCTTGCCTCCACTTCAATTGAACCCCGGTCGTATATCCCATAGCTCGCCACTATACCGACTGAGCTATCCCGGAACCTACATTATAAACCTTAGCCATTAAGGAGTTTAAAGTTGACAAAATATTATCCGTCCTTGAAAGCCAGTGACCATTACACTTGTAGCTCTTAGTGCTGTGATGATTTTGATGTCAATTCAAAGCCCTTGATTTTCCCCTATCACGTGCCATGGGACATGACTGCAATTGATAAAGGCTGGCGTAAGTATCGCAGTGATTTACGGTTTCAACACATCCTGCTTGTTGATGGATTGAACAACGGATATCATGTTAATGACAGTGTTAGTGGCTTCGATTTTGGTAGTAAACAACGCATTTAAATATGTATTAACTTTCCTACAATAAAAGACTAATAGGAGCCAGGAGATGTGAGTCAGTGTAAGCCCTAGATAAAGGATCGGGTGACCGATGGAGTTAAGTTTCCTGTGAAGGATTTCTGTCTTCTAGAAAACATCCAGACCAGATCTAGGGCCAACCTAACCTCTTATCTGATGGCAATCAGGCGCTTTTCCCCGGGAATTAAACGGCGATTGCGCTGAGCTGATTATTCACTTCCGTCCAGTGTCAAGGTCAAGAATACATGGAGCCATGCCTAGAATTCCTCCCTACGTCTTCATAGTCTTGTGCTTAACTGAGAAGAAGAAAATTCTTTCCTAATTATTATACATTGATTTTGTCGTTCGACGAAATAGAATCGGAGATACAGGTAACAAGAAAGGGAAAGCTAACCCTGTAATGGACCGTGAAGGCCAATAGGGTTGTGAGACGTCGAGGCTCCCATATTTTCTAGACAGTCGGCTCACAGGTGGCGGTGAGGTCAGCCTTACCCGCCGGCAGCCCTTTACCCCCAGGAAGATTCCGGGTACTCATTTCTGTTAGAGACTAAGTCAACCCCAGGGCCATAGTACGGTTGGAAGAAGTGAGTGAAATTGAGTGCACTAAAAGACGGACACTGCAGATATATCATGGAAGAATTACGTCAATTGAAAAATCCAGTGACCTCATCGAGACTTGAACACGCGACCTTCTGGCTTCTTACATAGTGCCTCAACCAATTACGCTACCGCGTGCCCCGAACTACTGGTAGGTTCTTGAAATAAGAAAAAAAAGTGGCTTTAGTCCGCAAGGGAACTGTATAACTCAGCAACAAAAATTAAGAGTCACATCTTCAGTTAGAATTGCTTTGCAGCTGCAGATTTGTGAGTGCAGGAACTAACAAACTTCATGGAGCTCAGCCCTTCTTGAGAAGCCGCCAATTGTACAGCTATTCAAGAACTTCCCAGCATTTTATGGAACCCGAAGGTTCGTTACCGTGTTCACAAGAGCTCTCCACTAGTGCCTTTTCTCAACCAGATCGATTCGGTCCATACTACACCAACCTGTCTTTTTTTTTCCTTGGCACTACAGCCCCAGTGGGCCTAGGCCTACCTCCATTAACTTCTCCGTTCACTTCGGTTTTTCTAGATCTTACACATTCGGTAGGATTCCTTGGGCGGGTGATCAGCTCGTCGCAAGGCCTCTACCTGTACACAAACACAGAAAAACGCACACACACAAACTAAACATCCATGCCCTGAGTGGGATTCGAACCCACGATCCCGGTTTCGAAGCGAGCGAAGACAGTACATGCCATAGACCGCTCGGCTACCGCGACCGGCCAACCTATCTTTGTAAGACCCAATTTAATTTTATCCAATTGCCTTCGTCTTGGTCATCCTAGTGGTCTCTTTCCTTCTGGCTTTCTCGCCAATAACCTTATACATTCCTCGTCTCCCCTATTCGTGCTACACACCCTGCCCACCTCGTCCTCCTTGACTTGATCATTCTAATTTTTTAATGTGTTACTGTATCCATCCATCCATGACTCTCCAGCCCTTATGGGCCTTGGCCACTTTTTCAGTTTCTTAATTCAGACACAGTCTGTAGGTCCCCTTGGATGGGGGATTAGCCTGTCGCAAGGCCGCTACCTACACAAACATAGCATAAACGCACACAGATATCCATTAATTTAAGTAGGATTCGAACCCACGATTCCAGCGTTCGAGCGGGTGAAGACGGTTCATGCCTTAGACCAGTGGTTCTCAACCTTTGTGAGGTGGTTTCCCGGTAATTGTTTCTATAAGACGAGGGCCCTTTATAATTGATGCTAGGGCCCGATACTGGGCCGCGGCCCAGCGGTTGAGAAACACTGTCTTAGACCGCGCGGCCACTGTGATCGGCGTAGTGTACTCTGGCAGTCCTCACGTGTTCAACTGTTGGCCTATGAACAGCCTGCTGGCCGTCATGCGGATAGCGCTGCCTCAACGATTTGAAGGTTTTGAACTCACTTAGATTTGTAATACAGAGAGAGAGAGATTTTGTGTGTGTGAAGTCCTTCTGCAGATTCGAACTTGCACATTATAATTTAGCGTCTACATATGATGTAACCCTGGAGAGTTCAACTGTTAATACTTTGAGAATTATGCTTTCACTTGCTGTTTGCTCGTCTATCTTGCGTACTTCTGGAGTTTATACAACTTAAAGCAGCGGAGATAGTTAATAAGTTAGACGTCCAAAATGTTACATCCCACATTTTTTAAATATACGCAGCGTGTCAGAGGTTCACTCAGACACATAATATATTGCTGACATATTTAAACTTCTTTAAATATTTCTACCAAGATCAGACAGAGCCAATCGTCATTGCCTCGCGTTTCGTTCGTTCGAAGCTGTGTTCTCTACAAGACCATATTTTCCGTCTGTATATTTCTTGATTTTAATTACGAAAATGTTTACTATAGTGAGATTAGTAGTATGTGTGATCGCCTCCGTGGTCTAGTGGTCAGAGTTCTTGGCTACAGATCCAGAGTTCCCGGGTTCGATTCCCGGCACTCGAGATTTTCTGAGATGTAGTTGTTCTGGAACGGGGTCCAATCAGCCTCGTGAGGATAATTGAGGAGCTATTTGAAGGAAATAGCGGTTCCAGTCTAGAAAATAGAGATTAACGGCCGTGGGGATTCGTTGCGCTGACCACGCGACACTCTCTATCCGCAAAAGTTGGCACTAACTTCTCCGACAAGCGGCGGTCGTTCGGTCGGTATAGTTCGCTTGCGGACTTAAGTCACGGAGTTTTTGTTTTATTGTTTTGTAGTAGTATATGCAAGGGGTGAGCCATAAAATCAGGATACGACACACACACAGCATGAATTGTACTGAAGTATACTGCATTTTAGTATAATGCATTGTACTACGCTGTACTGTATTATATATTATGTTGTAATGTAACATTACTACACTGAATTATGCTACACAGTATTATAGTACATTATAATATATTTCACTGCTCTCTA